CTTAGAATCAGCCAACCAGAGCCAGGCCCACCCCCATGGCTGCTGTTACCTGAAAAGCCCAAGTCTGCCATGACCAAGTATTTACGGTCAGTGGCATTGCTGATCTGGGGGAAGTAGATATCGATTGTGAAGAAGGCGACACAGGCCAGGAAGCCGAGGACGCCGATGCCGATGCCGTAGCGGCAGGCGTCCTCATTCTGGTGGAAGACGCAGTGGAGCTCTGCAGTCTCAGGCGGGTTGGTGTACCCCTCACCGATGATGCAGGAGAACACGATGAGGGAGAACACCTGGGGAGGCAGCATTGGCATTAGCTTGGGCAGTGTTCAGGAACCACAGGGCAGATGGAGAGCTGGGGGGACGGGGGGACCCCACCTCAACCACCCTTCCAAAGCAGGAGGGAGTTCGTTCAATGCAGACAGAGCCCCATCTCCACCCCCCTCCTCTGGGGGAGGGGATGCACAGGCCGCAGACAAGAGCGGTGTGCTGGAATGGGGCAGCCCAGACACGCCGTGACGGGGCGATTCACTGCACCTTTACCTGTGGACAGGGGAGTGATGGTAGCAGGGTCCCGAACCCCCCAGCGAGGGGGCTGGGCTGGGAGATCCCTGGGCACTGGCCCCACTGCCGCCCCAACAAACAGGGCACAAGCCCAGGAGTGAGCCGGACCTGCCTCGCCCCGGGGGAAATGCAGCCGCTGGCACGGGGCGCGCTCCCCCCGGAGTCCCGGGGGACCCAGCCCCAGGCCGGGGGAGGGCGCAGCCGCGAACCCCGCCCAGCCCCAGCGCGGTCAGCTGATGGCCGCATGACCGGCGCCAGGAACGGACAGTCCCGGAGCCGCCGCGGGGCCCCAGGCGCCGCCACCCCGAGAGCGCAGCGGGAGGCCCCGGCCCCGAGCCGGCCCCGGCCCCGGCCCTTCCCCGGCGCGGCCGGACGCGCAGCACCAGGAAGCTCCGGCGGCAGTGGGGGTTTGCGGCCGCCAGGCCCGCGCCCGGCCTCGCCCCGACAGGGCCCGGGGGACACGGGCCGGCCCCGGCCCCTTCCCCTGCTCCGGCCCCGGCCCCGCTCACCGCGCTCAGCAGCCGCACCAGGACCTGCGGCCGCTGCAGGAAGCGCAGCAGGTCCAAGGTGCCGCCGGCCTTGGCCGCTCCGTAGGCGCCGCCGCTCTCCATGCTGCCCGCCCAGCCTGGCCCGGCCCGCCGCAGCCCCGCCCGGCTTGAGCCGCCGCGTC